GCCTGCCGGGTTAAACCACAACAAATGCAAACAGTATTCAACTGGGGGGAAAAAAAAAGAAGAAAAAAAAAAATCCCATCGATAGCCAAGTGATGCCAAACCTAGCTTTCCATCAGAAAGGATTATACTGAAAATAAATCAATTTTTGAAGCAGCTTGTATCAGTACTTCTCTAGCAAACATGTACATATCCCATGTTGATTCCTCTTACTTCCTTTCTCTATTCTTCAACTGAAATTCACTTTTGAAGTTACTTACAACAGCTAAAGGAGTTTAATACACCAAATGAAAGACTATGAAGTATGCAAGACAGAAGATTTTGTGAAAAACTTTCACAACATGGTATTATTTTAATTTAAAATAATTTTGGTTAATTGTTATTCTGCTGACAGAGGTACTTTTACTTAGCATTTAAAAAGCAAAGACGCAACCAAGCTATACGCAGTAAATCTTACCACATGCTGAACAGCTGTATGGTCTCTCTCCAGTATGTCTAATTCTGTGCTTTACTAATTTTCGTTGCATGTTGAATGACTTCCCACATTCATCACAGGTGAATACTTTATCTGCTGTATGGGTCTTTTTATGCTCCTTTAAATTACTGAAATTACTGAATCCTAGAAAAATATGACAGACACTGAGATTAAAATGACTCCTCACATTTCAATCAAAAAACCTCAGAGGCAGAAACTTTGGTTCTTGCATACCTCTGCCACAGATATCACACAGATGAGGCTTTTCTCCAGAATGAATAATAATATGACGCTGAACATCACCAGAAGCAGCAAATCTGTAACAGAATACGGAAACCCAATTACTGTCTTTATAAGCCCCTTACTCTCCTAAACTGAGTATCACGTGGATATCAACTATAATGAATGCCTGATGCTCTGAACAAAAATTAAAATCTAAAACACAGATAAATGGATGCATTTAAGAAAAACATTTTGAAGCTGGCAACGTCCAATTAAATTTATGCTATAAAAAAACCCAAAAAACCCTTTTCAGCATTAACATTGCTAATTTATTCTGCATTTAACTTAATTTAAGTACAAATGCTACTCCTAAATTAGTGTATTTCCTGTCACCTGTTAGCAGAAGGCAGAAATATTTAATGTTTTGCTTAAATTTGCCAAATTTCCCGTACTTCATAATTTCCATAAAATGTAACAAAAATTACATTACCAAATAATGAAAAAAACGTGAGGGAAAGGTACAAAACTGCATGATTTATTGTGACTCACACTGTTCAAAATACACATAACAGTATATCCTTAACTAAAGATACCAATATATAAAAAGTAAGTAAGACCATAAACTATATATGTGGTGACATGTTTATCTTATTATTGAGACTTGCAAGAAGACACTTGCAGACATTTATGTATTTTAATCCCATCAGTACACATTTAAACCCAATTGTCTTTTAAACAAAATTGAGCAGCGTGCTGCCTTAGCTGTTGGCCCTTAGTTCATCATGAAGATTAAAGAGAACATGAACAAGTTTTATCATATTAACTTTAGTAAGATGAACAATTCTACTCACCTTTTCCCACAGATTTCACAAATGTATGGCTTTTCACCAGAATGTCGACGTAAATGTGTCTGGAGATTACCTGCCTGAAGGGACAGTAATTTAAACATTTAAATTCAGCTAGCCTGTTGTTGTATACAGATAAAAAGACAACGATGAGAACTATGAGACCGGCTTTTTGTTCCTAATTCTAAGATAGTGAAGACTACAAAGCATGTAGGAACTCAAGCTTTCTTACCTAGTAAGAACAGACTACCATGTACTTCAAGATCAAATTGCTTATGTATGCAATTATACATTGACAAGAACAGAAAAAAAAAAAAAAAAAAAGACGCCTGGAATCAAATGCTAAGGAAAAAGAAAGACCTATAGTTGAAAACAGATCCAATTATAAATGAAAATTACACTATCTAGATTGCAATGAAGAAGAAAACTTACTAATAATATGGTTCATGTTAGTCTCATTTTCCCTGTCCTACAAATAAAATATTGTTACATCAGGATGTCTGAATTCACCTACCAGGAGGTTAAAAAGAAAAGAATAGGGTAAACATTTTTTAGTCCATAAAATACTCAGAGGCGATTGCTCCAAACCTATAAATATTTACTCATATCAAAAGAAAACAGAACAGGAAGTACAGAAATGAACAAATGGTAACTAATTTTTATTACATATCTTTCCTCTCCCAATCCTGTAAAAATCATGCTAGCCCAGCGGGCAAATCAGATAATGACTAGACAAAACCATCTTACTCATTCCAACTTTTTAAATTTTTTTTTTTAAAGCCACTGGTGCTTCTGAATGGCTAATCCACTGAGAGACCAGTTCTCAAAGCACAAGATACAGCTAGTCTGGATAGAAGAGCTGCAGATGTTCCATAAATTGTGCATACTTCCACAGTCAGTTTTTAACCCTTCCGTTCTCTTTTGATGGATTACTGCCTGGTTTTATCTAAGTATACTAAAGGAACATTAAGTCCTTTCAATCAGGAAAGAAAATTGGGGATGCAAAGATTATCATGTCCTCCTTAGTCACAGTAAGACCCGTCAGTAATTTCTTCCGACTCTTTTACATAATAAATTACCTGTGATGATCAATCACTATAATAAGAGCTTATAATATACCAGAACTAAAGTACTGCAGACACACACAAAAGACACAGAGGACAGCATTAAATGGATCACTGTTTGAACCCTGAGAGAGCTTTCTTTAACCCCTGTAAAGTTTTTCAGACAGTAGTACAACTGAACCACTGTTCTCTCAGGCCAAACTTTATAATACTGAAATCCATTCAAAGAGAAGCATTGGGCACCTATTTCTGAGGGAGGAAAAGACTAAACTGACTTCTCCATGGTGCAATCTGTGCTTTACAAAGACAAGGGATTTTATGCAGAGGTGCCTTTGAGGGAAACATACAAAAGACAGAACCTTTACCTCTATCCACGTCACAAAACAAACCATATCACAGGCGTTTGAAAGTTATTCTGGATAAAGACATAGGGTGAATTTGAAGTGCAACAATTACTCTCAAATACTTCTCATACAGGCAGTTTTAGCCAGAATAAAAACATTTTAGAGAAAGTAGCAAGTAGATCCATTTCTTTATGAAAAGTTTATGTCACTTCCTCCTAAAGAGGGCGAAAGCTTGTTATTAACTGCGCTAAGACAAAAAAAAGGTAAGAACATCAGTAACTTGTATTCTTCCGAAGCTTTTAAGGTGGTACACAACCTTGGTTAAGGCATAATATGTCATCCCAATGGAAAAGCGTAAGAGGACTTTTGCTAGCATTTCAGTGAAAGAAAAAAAAATGCCCAGAAGAATCCTATTACTGATACTGGTTGCATACCACTCCTCACAAATTTGGAGACTAGGGAGATATGCTAGACTCAGTTCCGTTGTAACTGGCATGCTTTTAAAGGGAAGGAATTAATGCATACGGTCCCCCAAAAGAAGCTCTGCAGAAGGAGGTAGTCAGGAGGTAAAACATGATATCCTGGATCACCAAACAGAGAACGACAATATAGAAATAGGCTGTGTACTAGTAGTAAGGGAAGATGCAGGCCTGGAAGTACGAAAGGAACCTTTTTCTCCAAAAATCAAAGACCTTTATGGTTATTTGTTCCAGACTGCAAGTTCCTATGTCAATTTTCACTGCTTTCTTCATTCCAACACACGGAACATCAGTTACATTCAGCAGACACAACAACTGCACTGTCTCAAAAGCACAGAACATGAAGGCTTCAATAAGGCAAGTGTTACTATTTCTGTGCCTGCAGACTGAGAAGATCAAGAACAAGATTAGAGATGGTCTTTTAAGCAAAAAGTAGATAGTAATTATCCTTGCATCTTACCTTCTGGTAAGTGGAGTCTTACTTATTTGCACAATTCAAAGGCAAGTACCTCAGAAGTATGCAAGTTCCCTTTTATAACCAGAGAAAGAACTGTAGCACACAAGCTGAATGCTATGGCTCGTATTTTGGATATGTAGGTATTGTCCATCAATACGTATCTACCTACGCCTTCAGGCAAGTGAGGTAATGGGGAGGGAAGGGGACGAAGGTGTTTAAGAGTGTTTAATTAAAAGGCAGAAATTTCCAGTTTTGTTGGGGTTTTTGTTTGTTTTTAGTTAAAGAGCAATGCATGTTGCATGAGGAGTCTGTCGTGCCTGTCATACACTCTGAGTGTATGAAGCTGTTTTATTCCCTCTTCCCCCACAGTAATGGTACAGAATACCACTCCATTTGCCAAAAGTACTTTTAATGGAATTTGGAAATACCCACTTTTTTCTTTGAATAACTGCAAGTTCAGCCATCAAAATGAATGAAAATGCACTTTCTTTGCCTAACAAGCAGACCCGGTTTTGCTCAAATGGCTTGATAAGCATGACAGAACAGTGTTGCTCACTGGATGCAGTGTTACATTCATATTTAGTAACAGAGTGGAGGATGCAACTGCATCAGATTCATGGGTCAAAGAAGTCCCACTGGTGGACTACAAAACTGGAGCAAGAGAAGCACAAGCACCAGTGGGAGGGTAGACAAAGACCACATAATTCTAATCCTTAAGCCATAAGACAAAGTTATTCAACAATAATTATTATTTAATCTTAGCATAAAATTATGCACCTGTCTAATGTCTCCTGTACTTAGGTGCACGTATTCCAACTAAGAAAACAGAAAAGAAATAGACATTTTGGAAACGTGAGACAACTAGGCACCAAATTTGTATAAATACAAATGAATTGTTGTACCCAGAACAGTAAGCAAGCATTGGAGGGCAAATTAAGACAGCTGAAGCTTAGGCCCTGTATGTAAGTAGGGAATTTCACAGGAGTTTTTTGTTAAATCATAGCTGAGTTTTGTCATTTCAGACAGACTGTGCCGTTCTTCTTCACAGAAGTAAACTGACTCAAAAAAATTAGCTTAATAATTTATGCCATTTAGGAAGATGAAACTGTATTGTGAATACAACATTATATAAAATTTTAACCTGTGGTTTTTTCAGACACTGTAAAAATGCTATTCACAACATATCCCTAAGCATAAGGCAAAAGCAGAGTCCGAGAATGAATGTTCTCTGTATTTCAAATATAGTTGTGGCTCTGTATAGTTAACCATTTGAAGGTAAAATATATAACACATCCACTGAGAGCAGACAGAATCAAAGGTACAAAACATATCAAAGAAATCTAAAACATTTATCATGTTATTTTCAAATAAGACATTTTAATATTTTATCCCTAAAGCCAAGTCTGTCTTTGAACAAAAAAATCTAATCTATAGACTTAAAACCAAGCTTATTTTTAGAATCAAGACATAGATGCATTTCATTTTCAAGTGCAAGTACCATAATATAAAATATTCCCACCTGTGAGAAGTGTTTCCCACAAATGTTACATTCAAAAGGTTTCTCACCTAAAAGGAGAAGAAACAGAACACAGAACTTCTAATAGTTGCAATAAAATACAAATGTTTTAAATTGGTATGCTTCCTCTTAAAACATGTAATGTAAGGTTAAAATATCCCTAAAAGGACACTTACCCATATATTTAAGGGGAAATTCAAGTGGGAACTACAGCATTTACGATTAAGCTTGTAAGGCACACTTGTTCAGAAACAGAATTAATCTTTCAAAACAAGTAGGTAGAAGAGTTTTGATATGAATGGTAGTGTTTTGTAATTTTTTTAAAATACATTTTTCCCACATGAAAGGGGTACCATACCTCCAGGAAGAACAGAATAGACGACAAGGTCCTACAATAAAAGCTATGGGAAGTGCACCAGTTTTTTTCCACACAAAGGCCCACTCTTAAAAAGAATAAGGAATGCAGAGAAGCTAATTTTGAAGGATTCTGTTTTCTCAGTTCAACGTGTACCATACATCTCTGATCAGCACGTAGCCATTCACTTCCAGCAAATATATATTTGCCTTCAAATTCTCATCCTATATGAGTATCTGATAATTAACGCAAGTATTTTGCTCCAAAATTCTGAATTTATACATATAAAAATGGTATTCTTGAATCTCCAAAAACATATGAGCAGCTTTAGTAAAAAATTAGTGCAGCCCACTTTAGCTTTTCAAAATAACTTGACTCTGAAATTTAGAATGTAACTGCACAATACTTCAATTCTCTAGCTGTCAATTCGAGACAAATGCCTTTTTCTAATCACTTTTTCTCCTCTACAGTATTTCATACAGGTAATTTTTTTCCCTGCGTTGTTTTTGGTTTCCTAGTTTTTACACTGTTGATAAAAATTTCTGCATCTTCTAGAATTTTTAAAACAATAATAATGCTCAAATACCACTGAATTCAATGACAGCCAGACTTCCAATGATATTTTCATGAGTCTAGCTGTACTTTAAAAGGACATATATAATCTGGCCCACAGGTACAGGGAAGCAAAAGAGTTAGTGTAAATTCTTGTGATTTTGAATGCAGATATTTCCAGAAGAAAAAGCAGTTCCTACACTGTGTTTCATGTTGGTGCTGACTCAGAATCTAAAGATTTTCATTTACTTTTTTAATTATAATTTTCTTGATTTTACAGAACACCTCTTGGCTATTTGTAGCCTTCTCTTCCAGCAAGTATCCTCTACATCAATATTCTTCTCCATCCTTGGAAGTGTTACGAGCAACATCTACAATATCCAGGTGTTGAGGTTCCATTTTCCTTCCCTGCTGCCAAATACACGTAATGTTCTTTCAACATATTTCAGGATCAAGGACTAAATGCAATCCTCTTTGTTTTTAAAGCAGAGAGTAAACATACACAGTTACGTGGCTTCACAGATAGCAATCTTGCTGTTTTTCTGACAACATGAACCTAAATCTATTTTTTCTCCTTAATGAAGAATGAAAATCTTACGGCAGTTTCAAGAAAGCATTTATTCAATTAAAGATAAAAATTAAGAAACCCATAACTCAACTATAAAGAACACTAAGGCTTGATTTCATTATGGCTCTAAATTTGCAAAACACTAAAAATTCTGGTACTGACAACACAAATATAGATGAAACTAACAGGAAGACAGATCTACGGCAACTGGGAAGGCTTCTGACAACCATAAAAGCATCAAGGTAAATTGAAATGGAGGATAAAAAAACACTAGTTTGGAGATAAAAAACACTAGCCATTTCTGCAGAAATTATCCACACCAAAAAAAAAGTTACTGTTGACACAAAGACTATTATCTGAAGAGAAATCCACTCTGAAATAACTAGAGAGGGAGGGAGGGAATTGGAGGCTCAAATTTCTCAAAACTATTGTTGTACGCTGCATGCAGCCTCATTATAACTGTACTGATGTACAAAGAGTTGGAGTTTTTTTTCCCCATGATAAAGATTAAAAAAAAAAAGTTTTGTTTGAAAAGAAACATCAAATTAGTTTTTGGAGAACAATTCTGCACCTGCATAAAACTCCAAACCACCAGGCATATCAAGTAGCTTATTCCAAGAATGAATTCTAGCAGAAATACTAAATTACTCAGTGTTGTAGCATCCCTCACGTAAAGTGAGGCTAATTGCTTCCTAGAGCGTATTAATAAGAGTGCAGCTAGCAAGCTGAACTTCTCTACCTATCACTGGTGAGACCATATGTGAAGCCTTAAGAAGAGAAGACAAACAGGAAATCTTACTACTGTCTACATGTAATTGGAAGACAGATGCAACCAGGTTGTTCCTGAAGGTACACAGTGACAGGACAAGAGGTGACAGACACAAGTTAGATCATGAGAAATTCCGACTAGATGTAAGAAAATAATCTTTTACCCATGAGGGTGGTCAAACACTGGAACTGATTGCCTGGAGAGGTTGTGGAATCTCTGTCCTTGGAGATATCCAAAATTTGACTCCACAAGGTCATGAACAAAACAATCCAATCTAATTTGACCTGCCTTGAGCAGAGGCTTGGACTAGATGACCTCCACAGGTCCATTCTAATCCGAATTATTCTATGATTCTATGACTGTCATTAAATTCCAAACCAAAAACCTTAACCAAGAACACTAATCTTCTCAAAGACCACAGCTGGATCAACAACAATAGAGAAAATTTGGGGACAAGTAGTAACTGAACTACAATTAAGACAATGCTTAAACAAACATCCAGGGGACTTTATTTTTGAACCCTCGGACTGCCTTGTGTTTTCTATCTTCTGTTAGATCCTTCTTGTTCAACACTCTGCAAGAAGAGATGAAGATAAAGTACACAGTAATGGGATCAAAGCAGTGGTGTGTCAGCTCCAAAGGAGAAAGGCATGAAGGCAGAAGCAGTGTTCCTGAAAAGATCACAAAGGTGAGGAGTAGGACCCACTAAGGCATGGAATGCTGGCAACTTGCTCAAGCAAAGCTCAGAATGAAAAGGTTGAGGATCAACAGTGTATTACATGACAGTGTAACTCTGCTCCTGTTATTTTCCATCCTGCCAAAGTTCCTTCCACAGGGTTGGGTTTTGAGTCTTTTTTGAGATGTTTCCTGAAAATATTTTTAATAAAAAACCAAAACACTGGATGTTCCTGGATAGGTAAGGACTGTGTAAGAGAGAGATATTTGCTTCCTTTTTTTCAGACAGGTCAATCTAATAAAAAACAAATTATAACATTCAGTCAAGTCAAAATCAATCTTAAAGTCAATGCAATAAGCTCTATTTAGAGATTCCTTTAAATATCCACTAGCAACACAATTAGAACAGCTACACAACCCAATACACTGACTTGTGTTGAACACAGTATGCCTGTCCTTCACATAGACAAGTCATCAATGCAACCATGTTAACCTGTAAATTCTTTAGGAGTTCCTAGGATTCAGGGACAGAGAATTTCACTTATGCTTCTTCTTGACAACCAGGCCATCACAATACTTATGTTGAAAGAATTGTCATTTGTGGGTTAAAAACTGGCTTGCCATTGTGAAAGGTCCACTTTAGTAACTTGCTTCCTTCACCTCTTCAGCAAAACCAGATTTGGAGGACTTTCAGTAAGCACTGTAATACTTAAATGCTTGCTAACCCTTTTGCTCAGTTCTAGAAAATGAACGTTTTTAAATAAAATTTATTAGCTAGCAATTTGTTATGCTTTCTGAAGTGACAGATGAATGAAAATGGCTTTTAGCATACACTTACATTACGTAACTACCAGTATACCTAATATTAATGATGCAGATGTGCCCTGTACCTTCAGCTACAGATCCTTCCTATATTAATATCCTACTCACTATCCACTGAAATTTTCCAAGTACTCTTTTTGCACTAGTTGGATATTTAAAAACAAATTAACATGACCCAAAAATAACAGGCAAGCAAACAGGAATATCTAGTCATATTCTTGCCTCAGTTTTTCCATCCTTCTTTGATGTGCTTATTATTTGTTAAACTTAAGCTTTGTCTGTTTAGCACATCTATAGAAGAATGTTAATGCCATGTTAAGTAGCATTCAAGTCTGGAATTTTTTTAGAACTATTGGAAGTACATAGTATATGAAAAGCAGCATGGAATTCCTGAATCCAATGTATACTCAAGACTAGTAGAGGAGGACAGCAACAACAACAAAACCAAGTCTAGGATCACTAGGATCAATGTATAAAGCTAGTTCATATCAGGCAGTGTTGTGGAATGTGAAACAACACCTACCAGAGCTTAAGTGGAGTGGAAGCATGTGTAAATACACAGACCTCAAATAAGAACAAAGAAATTAATTGCAACATACATAAATAATCTTGCAAAGCTACTGCAACCCTTTTCCCCTTTTCCCATTTCCTACACTTGTAAGCATTTGCTGGCCACGCTGTGTCTAAAGAAAAAAAAAATTTGTAAAACACTTGTGTCAGGGGCTACAGTCTCTTTCTTCTGTAAAGGTTAGTACCCAGTCCACTCCCCTGACCTTTAAGTTACAATACATTAGAAGAGGTAAACTAAACTTTGAACTTCATGTTTTAAATGGTTTAGCAGACTCAGAAACATACAATAGTTGAGTCTATCTCTCGGGCAACACACTCTTAAAAAAACAAGTAGCTTTATGGGCACCAGAACTCAAAAAATCCAGATTCCTTCCAATGACTAAGATGTCTAAGGAAGGGCAAATTCTAACACGTTTCTCATAGTTGGGGACTCTCTTTCACATAGATTCTCTAGCACAAACTCACGTTACTGACTTCAGAGTCTCTCCCTCAGTTGGGACTTCTCTAGATGCTCTATCTTCTATCTGATCACCTATTTTCCTGAAATTTCTAAGATACTAAAATATACCTGATGATGTCAGCTCAAATCAGGTAACAGATTGAAAAAAATACACGGCAAAGAGAAGATCTAGGTAAGAGACATATGCAACTCTTTAACAGGAGACCAAATTAAAAAAAAAAAACCAAACAGTTTTAGTAATGTGAACATACAGAAGTAGTCAAAGATACCAAGTGAAAACTTCAGGAAGCTAATGCAAAATGTTTGTATTTTCAGACTGGAAAGATTTTTCTACTAATAACGTGGAAAAATAAATTCTTAATACCAAGGATCAATTAACAAAAGAAATTAATGTCTGCTAAGAGAGATTCATATTTACTGTCAAAGTACTGATACATGTATGCTCATTTGCAAAGTGATGTTTATTTGACAAGATTGAGAGAGATGCATTTGTATATTTAATACAGGGAAAAAGAACGGCAAAAAAAATTCAACAGCTTAATCAGGAATAATGCGATCTCGAGGACTTGAAATCAATGGTGTTACTTGACTAGCTAAGGTAATTCTCAAAAACCCTTTTAAAAAAACATATCTAAAGTTGTAGAAATATAATAGAACATACTGGTTAAACTGAACAGACAAATTAGTTAATTCAAAGTTAGACTGGGTCTTGTTTTTCACTAGAATAAAAAGATACTAGAAGTAAATCTATGCTAGGTTTAAAAATAATATTACCTGTGAGTTTTTAAAACAAAGTAATTAAAAATTCTCATTCACTCTGTAGCCTACTTGTCTGCAATAGCGTTACCTTCTAGGTAAACGCAATGAAAAGTTGTTCACAGTAGGAAAAAAGTATAAATTAATTATAGAGCCTATTTCTACAGGTTAAAAAGAAATGACCACCAACCCCTAATCACTTATATCTTACAATGAATATATGATCAGAGAGAACTGAGATCGTCTAGAACACTTGTATTGTCTTCTATCCATTGACACTTTTCATTGTTATCTGACTCAGACTTCTGGGCCATCTGAAAAACTGACTAGAAATCCCTCTTCTAAATGAAGACAAAAATAAAATTTTTGTTGAAATAACACACAATGTTCTTTGAAAAAGAATCCTAAAAAAACAAATATGAAGGAGAAATCTTTAATACAATTAAAACACTCAGCTAAACTCAGTCTTACAGTCTTTATTCCTGTATGACTATTTGTTTTAAAAAAACAAAACCCACAACCTCTTGAAAGTAGACCCTTAACCAGCATCTCTGAATCAAGAGACACCGCAAGACATCCTCTTTAACTGAAATACTCGGTCTGCAGCCCAAGTATTGATAACTGTACCTGTATGAGACCTTTTATGGAGCTCCAAATTGCTTGGATGTTTGAAAGCCTTCCCACATAATTCACAAGTATATTGCCTCTGCGACTGAGGAGTCTGTGATTGCCCTTCTTGTTCCAAAGGAGCTTGAGATCTTTCAATTTCAATAGTTTGTTCAAAATTCTCAGAATTCGCTACATCTTCAGCTTCTTTTTCTTCAGTAACTCTAACATCTGTCACGTCCATGGTACTTTCATTTACAGATTCAATTACTTCCGTTATTCTACTGTCATCTCTTTCAGGCTCAGGGGGCTGCTCCGCAGATTTCTGAGATCTTAGAAAATTTAACTTTTTGAGGTGTATTGCCTTTTTCAGCCGCATCTGTTTAGTGGGCTGCGTAAGCGTGCTTTCTGCATCTTGGTCTGGAGCAGCTTCATTCAAGGACTGAACCAGAAAGTTTGATGGTAAATGATCAGAGGTTTCCAGAATACACTCAGAGTGATTGACAGTACAAGAACTATTCTCTACTATGTTTATTTCTGTAGACGTGTTGTAAGAAAAGGATTGGTCTACTACTCTCTCATGATTAGAGCAAGCATTTTGCTTATAGAACTGTTTATTGTAAAAGTTGCGTAGTTTATAATAGTAATTTGGTTGTTTAAATGGAAGTTCTGTGCAGTTGCCATCTAAGGAGTCTTGTGGTTGTTTCTGTACATCACCTGAGGGCGCATGAAGATTAACAGACTGCAATGCATGAGAATGGTGGTCAGCCAAGACTTTATTAGCTTGTGTGTCAGATGAGCATTCATGCAATAGGTGTGTTCCATAACTGTCATTGGCACAGCTAGTATCAGCAGTCAAAGTATTCTGCAGTGAAAATACACTATTACAAGGCATGCTGGCTGTTTGCTCTACAGCTGTAGCAGATTTTAAAAAGGTGTGGCAAATGTTCAGCACATTTTGCACTTGGAGACACTGTGCAATATCCAACATAGCTTGTACATTGTCCTGGCTAAGATCCAGGTGAGAGGTGTACATGAAGTCCAAGATCTGGCCTATCCCACCTACATTTTTAATGTCCAAGTGAAAGACATCATTCTTCTGGCCTGAAGAATTCTGGAAAAGTGTCCTGATAAAATAAGGCAAATATTCAAACACAAGCACAAATAATTCACAAACACTTTTATAAAAAAATACACATACACCTCAAACAGACTGTCTGGTATGAAAAAACAATTTACTCTATATGGTCTTATATAAACTGCTGTGTTTTTGCAGATGAACGTCTCAAAACTGTTCAATTATTTGTCTTGTATATTAGTCCTACACTAGTAAACATAAAGTATAAATCACAGAAAATGATCCTTTATATAACTTTAATTTTGTGGGTTTTAATGTTTTGAAATCACACCCTATACTCGTGGTTTCCTATCCAACGTCCTTTACATATTAGGTGCAGTGGTGTATTTATGAACTATTTGCAAAAGTTGGTTGACTCAAAATGGTGTTTCTCCTTCCATCATGGCAAATAAAACAGGACATGAGAAATTTTCCAGTAAAAAGGAGAAGATAGACCTCAAAGTCAGCTAAACTATTCTCTTCTGGCAACTGAGCTTGTCCATCAAACTTATTAAAGTTCTTATTATTAGTTCTTTCTCTGCCAGTAGATGAGGTATGGTAATAGCAAACAAGAGGATGGCATTATTTTCAATCTATTCTCTCTGTAAAGAATTCTTAGCATAAAGTATTCTTACTCAGAGCTGTAGCTCTTCACATGTATAATCAGTCCTAGATTAAGTGGGTTCGTACTCTGCCTCAGTCAGGAACTTCACACCTTTCCATTAAAACTCCCAGTCTCTAACCTGATACTCTCACAGTAAACGATGACATATAAATGGAGTCAGGTCACTCCTATGTAGCTATTTTCCTACACTAGAAAATGCCCTGAACTTGATGATTCCTCTCCGTGGGTTAATTCTCAAATTAGGTTTTGGTTAAAGATGGGCATAATATCAATAAGCTCTGAATCTTAAGCAAATGAGAGTCTAGGCTTAAACTTTAGAAATGGAGAGTTTCAGGTTACCCCCATACTGAAGTTGTCCTATCCTCATACTTAAATGCTACTCTGAAGCCAGTGCCCACATCCAAATTCTTTCATAAATCCGGCCCATACTATTTAAATTAAAACCAGAACTTTAATGAACAGATCTGGATTGACAGTCTAAATTAATTAGTCACTTATAACCTATTGAATTTTAATAAGAGTTGAGCGCTTAGTTCTTTTTAACTATTTCAAAAATTCAGTCTTTGAACATAATTTCACTTCATCATCAGGATTACAACACTAGAAGAGAAAAAGGAAAAACAACCTCTCATCTTTTTTCCCTGGTCGTAACATAACAATAATTTTCTTACATAAGAATTGGTAGTCAAGCTTTAGAGATGTTTCAAGAAACAAGGTGTAAAAACTGCCAGATCTAACAGCTTACTCGTAACTAAAGTAAAACACTAAGTTGGGAGATCTAGATTCCCCCAAAATCTGGAGGATCAATGAGGACTATACAGAGGGGAAAGAAACCAGTGATGTGGCTTCATGAGCCACCTGTATACTTCAACACACAGATGTTGTCTCTGAGAATCTGTTCTAAATAGAGATTCAATAATAACCTATATAGTCAAATTTTATTTTGAATATATAACTGATGAAACAATTCACATTATCCAGAAATGGATAATATGAATTGTCTCATCAATTATATCCCTTATCTGGCCCTGTTCATGTACTCTACTATCCTCCTTGTAAACAGTTATCTTTTCATACTGAAATACTAAATGCAGGTCAATGCCAGAATCCATTACATGAGGCACTGAAAGCAAGAAAATGCCAAACTCAAACAGTGTAGCAGTTAGCTATATATATCTAGAAAATAAATTAGGATGGCCGCAGTTTTTAATTAGATTAAATACTTGATACTCTGGACAAACAATTTAACTTTTCCCCTTACACTCCAACAGTTGCTTAGTCTGCAACTACCAGAAAAAAATACCCTTCTCAGAAAAAACCTCAACCAACATAATTTAGTTCACTTTTTTAATAGAAGAATTTTCTATCACATACCTGAAATATTGACTGAAAGCAGCTAATACATTTTTGTGTGCTTTGAAGCAGACACCTTTTACCACCAGCATGCAGTCACAAAGAAGACCCTGAATGCGCTGTTCATGTAGCTGCTGGAGAAGATGACAACTATGGCTAGCAACAGTGTCCATGCTAGAAAGCCACTTAAATTACCTACAATGAAATAAAATGCTAAGATGAATCTTAAATATTAACTTGCAAAATGAATTTAGAATACGAAGAACATTTTTACAATTTGTTTTAGCTCCCAAAGGAAACGGACTTCAGTTCACACCTGCAATGTGAGCTCTAATGACATTTTTCTGATTAAAGATGAGTCACAGTATTGCTCACGAGTAGAAATACAGCAATATACATAGGAAATATTGATTTTAATGAAGTTTTGCTTACAACAAAAAGCTTCCACAAAAACGCACTAATGGCACTGCCAATAAACTGAACTCCATAACCACAAAAAAAAAAAGCAATTTAGACAACTTCGACAAGCATTAGATTCTAAGGCAAAAACATATCACACCTACAAAATCAACAGCATTTGTAGAGGAAAACCTCAGTTTCTTCACCCGAAGAACACTGTAGTAGCATTATTTATGCCATATTTATTGCTGTTGTAGCTAAGCACATTTCCCACATGGATCTGATTCATTAGACAAGTTAGTATGGTAATTTTTTTATTTAATACAATGTAAAGTCTCTTTTAAAAATCACTTCTTTGAACAGGTTGAAGGGAAGACAAGTAACATTCCCACACGACACATTTACACTCAATTCTATACTTCCTTTTTTTGGAATAAAGATGAAACTCTTCCCCTGCACACCTCTAAATATGAAAGGAAAATTCCAACTATTAGGACAATTAGAACTTCTCATCTTCTAACTAATGAACGAGGCAGAAAAACCACCTTGGGTTAAACATGAGAAGAAAGCGATTGCCCCTATTCTCAATTCTCATGAGCGCTAAAGACTCCACACTTTAATTTGTTCTGTTACTCTCTGATTCACTGCCTCCTGTTGTATTAAGGTGGGCTATTACATTGTACTTTTTTCTATTTATTCTTATCGTGTCTTTTACAAGGCTTTAAAGAAACCAGATAACTGGTTGCTTTGTGTAAGTCTCCCACCACAGGATCTTGCAAGTACTTTAACAACCTGTGAATTCAGAGTCTCGCAGCAATCAGGTGCCTGTCTCCCAACGGAAAAGGCAGACACTTTGAGCTGCTCCCGAACAAGAGGAACCCCAGCCACACAGTCGCTATTTATGCTTAAACTGCCATTTCAGGTTCCCCGCAGTCTTGCCTAGCTAAAGCTCAGGCTCACGGTGCAGCACGGAGGGGGACAGAGGAAGGCTTTGCCTCAGAAGACGAGACCGGGCACCGAGGGGTGGGCGGGCTCTGCCCCGAGAACAGGCGACAAGGCGGCACCGCGGCAAGGCGCGGACGCGCCGCAGGCGGAGCAGGGCGG